TATACTTTATATATTATGCTGTATATTATATGAATAATATACAAAATTATAAGTATATAAATACATAAATATAATTAATTTAGGTTTTATAAAACTGTAAAATTGTGAAAAAATCCCCTTGGTCATTATACAGATACCGTATGAGACAGAATATTTAATATTTGACTAGAGAAACCGAAATATTTGATAAGGCATGATTTTAGTAACTAGTTATTTCATAAAGCCAAATGTTATGGTTGAGAATGTGATGTAAAAGCTGCATATTAGTAGCATTGAGCAATTCATGATCCGAGATGCAAATTATTGCAGCGGCATGCGTGTGACGCTTCAGTAATTTTTACCGTTTTCTGTTCGAAGGTTGATAGTTCAACTAAGTAAATTACGCTCGGTCGATACGTAACGGTTCATTTTGTTATATATGCTAATAATTAGACTGCGGATTTTATGCATTCATGGCCGAAGTGTTTATTTTAAATAGAAAGTAATACAGACTTCAGAACAATTGCAGAATAAAATATCTTTTTACGTTATTCATTTATAAAAATCTGATGAGCTATGTCATTAGCAATCGCGAAAAATATAAATATTTACGCAGTAGTTTACATAATAATGACTTTAGAAAAATTGTATGTTTGTTTTAAATTGTTTATTACAAAAGTCTGATTAACTACTACCATACCAACTGCGATCACAATGAATATAAATATTTACAGTGATGTGCAGCGACTTACATAATAATGATTTCATAAAAATATTATTAGTATTATTAGAAATATTAGAAATAGTATCATGATTTCATTTTCCACTTATCAGAAGAATTGAGACAACGAATTAACTCTTATTTCAAAACTGTGTCTCGCACTTGTCTGAGAATATTTTTGTTCTGCATAAATATCCGCAGTCTACTAATTATCATCTGCTCAGTTAGATATGACGATTGCAAAAGGAGCATAATACAGACGAGAAATAATGTAGAATATATTAATACATTTATTATCAAATACCAATTATCGTTATGGGTACTATCAGGGAACGATAAATTGCGATTTTTATCGACAAAAATATTGGTTTGTAATTTGATTTACGAGGTAGATAAATGATTGATGCGGCTTTTTTTACCAAATTTTAAGACGTGGCATTTCCAATTAGTTGGGGTTTACTTGGTTGTCTTTTAGAACAGATTTTACAGACCTATATTATTTATGTCGCCACGTAATCGAAAGTCTTAATAAATTTGTTAATTCCTACCCGAGTTAATTCTGATAATCGTGGAAACACTGTTTTCAAAACAGTATAAGGTTCCACAGAGTGCACGCACAAATTTGTGCAATGCACAAATTTGACAGAAACATGAAACGAGCAACATTTAGCAAAATTAATGACGCGGGCACAAAGATACAGATGACAGAAGAATACTGAACATTAAACGTGGCATGTACTTACTGAAGTAGTTGAGGGTTTCCCGGATTTGGTCCGGTGACAATTTCAAATCAGTGTCAATTGACTTTAGTGCCGGTGACGGAATAAACCAGTCAGCGTTTTCGTAGCCTGTGTAAAACAAACAAAACAATTCGTTAAAATATTTGTCATTTGTATTTGTTTGTGAAAAGTTCAACGGACATCGTGCGATTTCAAACTTTTGTATCATTAGATAGAAATGATTTGATTCGAAACGTTTCTACAATTAAATCGTAATAAATATGTAGTATCGCATAGAATATTTATTTCCAGCCTTCCAACTATGAAAAGGAATTTGACTTAAACAATTAAGTTGCTTAAACTATCTTACTCCCACTCTTTCTCTCCCATTCATTCTTTCATTCATCCAAGCATGTGTGTTACATGCTTATTTTCCATTTGACTTGAATCATTTGTACAATTAAATCGAAGTATTTGCATACTTCAATCGACATTATTTCATTTCAAGTATTTGTCTAATCAAATCAAGATTACTTAAGCATTTGTCGAATTTAATCGAGATTACTTTATTTGAAGTATTTGTCTGATTAAATCGAAATTGCTCCATTTCAAGGATATTTGTTTAGTTCAATCGGAATTGCTTTACTTTAAGCATTTCGATAATTCGATTCGATTAACTGTATTTTAAATTATTTTGTATCGGATATTTGTGAAATAAAAATTGTACATAAGGGTATTATATAAAATATTAATCCAACATATGAAAATTCTATATAAATGTCATAAATATAATTTCAATTGTTACTTATTAATTATCATTTAATTGTTTATTATTTATTAGGCACAACGTGTCGAGCATATGCCACAGTCAAGAAATAATAGTCTCGAATCGCTTTGAGCGATACATATATGTAATGAGATCGCGAAAAAACACAAGTTAATAACATTTTATTTGCAAAAATTAAGATACAAAATAATATATAACAGACGAAAGAAGAGCAAAAGTTATTTATTATCTGCCCGTTCCTAAAATCCAAATGAGAAATACTATTTTATTGTCAAATACGAAATAATAAGTAAATTATTTGTGGAATACATTAAATTATTTTATTAATTTAATTTGTAATTTGTTATTTGTTGTTTAAAGTAAAAGTTTGCCTGAGTAGGTATACACAAAAGATCGGTGGTTGTGTTAAACACGATGAGCGACAGGAAGCTGTACATCCGATACTACTACAATCTGTACGAGTTTCAACAAAGGAAAACGGTACTCAAGCATGTTAGTCAATTTATTGGGTTCTTGCATGTCAATGGATCGGTTCTTTATTGGGTGAAGGTATTGTCTTCCACAATGCATCTGTTCCGATCGATGCGGCACACTTTAACACGACATTACTTTCGAAATATGTATTGTGTCGAAATATAAGAGTGGCCTAATGACTTGATTGCTTCCAAATCGTTATCATATTTCTGAGATGAAATTCAAAAACTGAAGCGAACAGAAATTATATTTTAGATTCGAATACCTGATTTTCAATAATGATCAATTTATGATACAGTGATTCGTGAATTGAACGAAATGACTGGATTTTTTGGTCGATTTCGATGCAATTTTCAGCACGCATATAATAAGTTACAGAGATCTACGAAACGCATTGTTTAAATTTTCGTTTCAAGCTCGGGTAAAATAATTAAGAGAACGCAAGTTTTATTTTATTTTTTCATTACAACCAATTGCAATTTCTAAAGTAATTTTAAAGGCATTACCTAACATCTAATAAAATGCAAGTAATTTCGTCCACTTTGAAAAAGTTATTCTGTTTTAAAAGATTTGTTGACAAGCCAAACCGATTGACTCCGCATTTTGAATTTCTTAAAATCTTAGTGTCAAAGCAGTTGCTTAACTCTTAGCTTTTCATATTTTTAATTTCTTGCATTGTAATATCGGATATTGAAACACAAAATGTCCAAACCTTTTGCATAGACGTACAATATTCATACGAGCTGTTCGCTGTCGTTAGATTGGAACGTGTGGTTGCGTGGGTGAGTATTG